TTTTGTGTTCCCTTTGCTTAGAAGAATGGCAGTTCCACTGTTCGGTAATATACAGGAATAGTAATAGTCTGATATAGTGATTTTGCACAGAAAAATATATAAATATATTCCTATTACCATTTTCTAATATGAAGGGGGCAGTGCGGTAAGATGGGATATGGAATAAAATCTAGGTAGCAATCTGCCAGTGTGTTAACTTAAAATGGTTATAAAGCAATTTTTTTTAAGTAGGCTCCACGCCCAGCATGTACCCCAATGCTTGAACTCACGACCCTGGGATCAAGACCTGAGCTGATATCAAGGGTCAGATGCTTAACGGAATGAGCCACCCAGATGCCCGGTTACTAAGCATTTTAAATAGAAATTTTCAAACTCTAAAAGATTTCTTGTCAAAGGACAAAAAGTTAGAAAAGGAAAAAAGGGGGAAACTTTTTTTCTTGGTTTTCACATTTATTAAAGGCCTTAATGTCTCCATCCCAATAATCTCCGAAGATCTGTTCAAAGTTCTTTTATGCCACTTATCAAATAGCAAACAGGCAAACAAACAACTAGATATTTAAGTAAGATATTTAGTGGTTTCTCCCTAGCCAGGGACCTAAAGACAAATATATTAGTTCAACATTATTACTACAGTCAAGACAGAGGATCACCCTCATTTTAAAGAAAAGGAAAGTGAAGCACAGAGGATTAATGACTACCCATCAGCAAACAAATGGGGGGAAATTAGGCATCCAAACTCTCAGCACAGGATTCTCGTGTTTTTCTTTCTTTTTTTTTTAAAGATTTTATTTATTTATTTATTTGAGAGAGAAAGAGAGAAACAGCATGAGAGGGGAGAGGGTCAGAGGGAGAAGCAGGCTCCCGCTGAGCCCGGAGCCCGATTTGGGACTCGATCCCAGGACTCCGGGATCATGACCCGAGCCGAAGGCAGTCACTTAACCAACTGAGCCACCCAGGCACCCAGGATTCTCGTGTTTTTCAAAAGCAAGGAACAAAAATCAACTTAACAGTTTGCAAATAGCACTTTTTTAAAAAAACAAGATAAAATAGAAACTATCCAAGTAGACTGTACACACTACAGATTTTATGTCAGTTTTCTTTCAGTTATATTTTTTTTTTCTTACACAGACACATGCATGCACTCACACACTTGTGTATCTATGGAGTCTTGACATAAACAGATCTCTTCGTATGGGTTGAAGTCAAAAATTTTAAAAACACTTCATTTCACACTGCCTGTCTTGAAATACTTGTATTTTTTATGGAAACACTGCAATAGCAACATTAAAAACATTAATAGATGATAATCGTACCTAAAAAAATCTCCCCTTCAAATCCCATTTTTGCATTTATTCAATGCTCTTTTTGCACTTGTTTATGACTACAGCTAAAGTAACTATCAACTAACTAGTTAACAGCAATAGCAGCAACTAGCAAGGAGAGAAGCTCTCGCTCAGCCAAAGGTGCTACAAGAATCAGTGCCTATTAGTCAGTCTCCCAAGTAATTTACAGTTAGAGAAGCAGATATACTTTACAAAAAGACACAGTATGTTCACCAGAGAACAGAGGTTCAGCCAGTTCTCTCCAAAAAAAGACTCAGAAATAAGTCCTCCACAGACTTGACCTCGGAATGTAATTTCAGGGGGAAAGGCCCATTCTTAAAATACTTTTTCTTTTTCTTTTTTTTAAGATTTTATTTATTCATGAGAGACAGAGAGAGAGAGAGAGAGAGAGGCAGAGGTTAGAGAAGCAGGCTCCCAAGGAGCAGGGAGCCCAATGCGGGACTCGATCCCAGGACTCCGGGATCATGACCCAAGCCAAAGGCAGACGCTTAACCATCTGAGCCACTACTTTTTCTACACAATATTGCCCAGGGCTAATATCTAGGGGAAAAAATTAACAGAAAACACAGCCATCCACTCCTAATTAGGTCTAAAATTCTAAATGTGAACTGCTTTGAGAGAAGCTACACTAAAATTCCAGCTAAAATACAGAAACATGACTCAAGGTAACAGATCATTTTTAGACAGCATTATTTGGGAGAAAAGAGAGAAGATAATAGCTCTGAAGAGTACAAAGATAAAAGAAAATGGGTAAAGTAATTCAGGGTTAAGAATAGGACAAAAGGGAAACTACTCAATCACTATGCCACAGTAAAAGTTTAATCCAAAATATATTAGGCTGGGGCACCTGGGTGGCTCAATCAGTTTAAGCGTCTGCCTTTGGCTCTGGTCATGATCCCAGAGTCCTGGGATCGAGCCCCTCTCTCTGTGCTGCTCCCTGTGCTCGTGCTCACGAGCGTGCACGCGCACATGCTCTCTGTCTCTAATAAATAAATAAATCTTTTAAAAAATAAATAAAATATATTAGGCTTTACCAGATATTTCAGTCACCTGCCCACAGCCTCAACCAATCATGTTTTGTGACACATGAGCCCACCTCCCCCTCCACAGCTAACTAGACTGGCAGAGGGCACCTTTGCCTGAGGCCTTGGGAAAAAAAGAGCCCCTAAGAACACCAGGATGTTGGGAATAGGGGCAAAAAGGGAAAGAATTCACAAAAAGAAACAATTAAATTTGGATTAGGGGACTGACAAAGTAGATTTACAAAGAAACAGGCACAACAGGTAAACAGAGGCTATAAGTAAAATAAAAGAGATACACAGTAGAGAGAGAGAACTAAGCATGTCAAAAATGTAGAAAAAACGTGCAGTTCATGAAGGAGGAATGCTTGTTTGTGGCAGCTTTCTAGTTCCTACATGTGCATCCCCTTCCTCGAGGTGGGGAATAAAAAATCCCTAAAACACAAATATATGACTAAAAGGGCTTATTTTAATTTGCACCATGTTAAAAAAGAACATCTAGAAACCTTTATCATTATTAAGTCTGAACTAGAAGAGTCCTTGGAATCAGACCAATTCACTATGTTAGGCATGAGGAAAATGCGAACCACAAAGGAACATAAGGTTATACAGATAGTGACAGAGCTAGGACAAAAACCAAGTCTCCTATTTCCATAGTCCATCACTCTCTGTCCTGTACTGCACCAACACCAACACAGAAACATTTTTTTTTCCAAAATGAGTATTTTTGCCACATATTTTTAAGAGAATCAGATTTTAAAAAATCTTTATATGCCTAAGTCATCTCCCACAGTTTAAATAAGTTTTCCCCCTACTTACTTCCTTGCTCTCTATTATCCTTATGAAATACATTCATCAGATTTCTTCTTCTTAAATTTTTTTTAAATGCATCAGTCACTGAAGACATGACATAGAAAATTCCTCAGGCCCTACTTGCTTTTCTCCCACTATAACTGTACATTCAAAAACAGCGTTACTCAGGACTTGTTACTTCACATATTACACAATAGTGTTTGAACCCAAAGTAGTACATAACAGAATTTTCTTTTTTTTTCATTTAAAGATTTTTATTTATTTCTTTGAGAGAGAGAGAGCACAGAGGGAGGGTGAGAGGGAGAAGCAGACTCCCCGCTGAGCAGAGAGCCTGATGCGGGGCTCGATCACAGGACTCTGAGATCATGACCTGAGCCAAAGGCAGACGCTTAACCGACTTAGCCAGTCAGGTGCCCCCATAACAGACATTTTCAATGAAAAAAATCAATGAAGGACCATAAGGCTTTCCTTAAAGAAAAACTCATCACCAATGTCAGTAAAAATCAGGAGAGAACAGTGCAAGAACCAAAACTATAGAGGAACTAATGTGAAATGTTTCAAATCACTCCTTATAAATTTTATTGCATTCATTCAATTTGCTCTGGGAACAAAACTACCATTGGCAAACAAAAATCCCAAAGGGGTAAAATTATTAACCAGTGAGAAACTGTAGAGAGCAGTGGAAAAAAGTTGACATAAGGTAGATAGTGAAGCCCCACGTCAGGATTGCAGAACACCTAGATGCTTACTCTGCCAAAACAAACACTTAAGCTCCTCTAAAGATTCTCCCAAAGGACACAGCTGGGGCGGGGGGGGGCAGTGAGAATAAGTCCTGGTATCTCCAGAGCTGATCCACAGAAAGGCAGAGTCATCAATTTCCTAAGAACATTCTCAGCCATCTTAAAACAGTGGAAATTAAGAAGACAGCATACTTTAAAGGAATTCCTTCCTTAGGTTTAAGGTGAACAAGGTATTAAGTGAAGAACACACAAACTAGGGTGCTAATCATTAAACAAAGAAAAGCACAAAATTCATAAATCCAGAGGCCACTTCAGTATAACTAATAAAAGAATCATATTCAAAGGATTTTTTTCATCAAAGGAATTAATGGCACTGTAAGCACATTATTTTTTATTCCAACAACTTAAAGGTGTGTACTGTTATCTCCATTTGATTGATGAGGAAACTCAGGCTTAGAACCTTTAATTAACCAAGGTCATAAAGCCAGGCAGTGCCTCGATCAGGATGGGAACCCAGGCTGCCTGAGCCACTCTTAGTACCGATTTCAAGTGTGTAAGTCACAGTCGACACAGCAGTTTAAGTTCATCCTTACCAGTCACCCAGGAGCTGAGTTTGAAGAGGGGGTAAAAAAGGGGCCATTTGACTTTCTCCCTCAAAGTAGAACAGAGCTGAGCTGTCAAAAGCAGAAAAAGAAGTGAGCGCGGCTGCCGCGCGGGTGCTCCTCCATCCCTGCACCAGGTCGGTCGCTCCCCGGCGCCAGTGGCCACGGGACCGAGCCCGCCCCGCTCGGATCAAGCAGTCCAAGTCTCGCTCGGTTTTCCGCCCGGGGCCCACGGGGCCACGGCGGTCAGACCCGGAGGGGCAGGGACAAAGAGCCTCCTCGGCCGCGGGCTACTGGCAGATCCCAAGCCGGTTCTCTGCGGACACCTGGGGGCAGCGGCCCGGGTGGGGCGGGGGGCACGAGCGGGACACTGCGGAGGAAGGGCGGCCGCCGGGCCTGAGGGGAATAACCGAGAGGCGCGGGGCGGACGGGCGGGCGGAGTCGCCTCCACCCCCCGCTTCGCTCTCGCCCCCTCCCCATTACCTTGCCTGTGGGCTTCTTGTCACTGTCGCCGCCGCCAACGGGCTCCCGAGCTGGGGCGCGCAGCGAAAGTCGATTAGCAGGCGTCAGTTGCGTCCTGCGCTCGTGAACCAGCCTCCAGGTCGGGATGGAGAAAGGCCAAGATTGAGAATCACGGACGAGGTGGTTCCCAGCTCGTGGATATTCTACTCTTCTCGTCCCTCGCAGTCTGCTTCCGCTCCGCCTCCCGGCCCGTCCTGGCCCTTCCCCCACTTCGGAGACCAGCCGATCGCGGCGCGCGGCATTATGGGGGATGTAGTCCGGCAATGCGGAAGAGGCGGCACGTGCTTCTAGCCGGGCTGATCCTACTCCCGGAGCAGGACGACGCCGTTGCGCGGCAACCAGAGGAAGCTGCCGGCTTCTCCTGGATTGGAAAATGAGCTTAAGGGAGGCAGACGCTCTGTCTTAACTCCCTGCAGTAGCTGAAAGGAGAGTGTGGACGTCTTACTCCTGACCCTCCAGCAGGCGACTAATAATTCCAAGGCTGTGAGCTGGAGGGAAAAGGACTTAATGATTCAAAGTGTGCTGCATGCAAGAATGTACTTTATTGCCCCTCAATGCCCTTAGTCAGTGGAGTAAGGCAAGAAAAATAAAAGGACTAACGATTAAATGAGGAGAAAAAAATTGTTATTTTTCACTGATAATGTCATTATTATGTATGTGGCAAATCCAAAAGAATCTACAGATAAATTGTTACAATTAATAAAAGTTAAACAGGTTAATTTAAAAGTCGCATTTAAAAAAAAAACAGTATGTATTTCTACATTCCAGGGATAAAGAGAATTAATATTAAGATACCACTTACAATAGCTTCAAATTAAATATCGAGTACCTAGGAATAAATCAAAGAAGGGCAAGACCTACATGAAGAAAATATTTTTTTAAAAACATTAAAGAGGGGTGACTGGATGGCTCCTGCCGTTGAGCATCCAACTCTTGATTTCAGCTCGGGAGGTGATCTCTGGGTCCTGGAATTGAGCCCCATGGGGCATGGATCCGCTTGAGATTCTCTCTCTCCCTCACCCTCTTCCCTGGCCCCAAAAGTCCTTGAAGAAGAAGTGCCTGTCTGGCTCAGTTGCTAGAGCATGCAATGCTTGATCTCAGGGTCATGAGTTCAAGCCCCATGCTGGTCATAGAACTTACTTAAAAAAGAAATAAAAAAAACAAACACTGAAGAACACTTAAATAAGAGATAATATGTTTGGAGCACCTGGGTGGCTCAGTCAGTTAAGTGTTGCCTTCAGCTTGGGTCATGATCTCAAGGTCGTGGGATTGAGCCCTGCATCGGGCTCCCTGAGCAGCAAGGAGCTTGCTTCTCTCTCTACCCCTGTCTGCTGTTCCCCTTACTTGTGCTTTCTCTCTCTCTGTCAAATAAATAAATAAATAAAATCTTTTTTAAAAATAAAAAGAAAGATAATATGTTCATAGAAGTTTCAATACTGAATGGTGTCAAGGAGTCTCCCCAAATTTGTAGATACAATGCAATTCCAGATAAAATCTCAATAGGGTGTGTGTGTGTGTGTGTGTGTGTGTGTGTGTGTGTGTGTGTGAAACTTAAGCCAATTAGACATGCTATGGAAGAGCAAAGACAAGCATTCATGAGGAAGAGAAGAAAATAAAAGGAAGAGGAGGAAGAGGAAGACTTGTGCTACCAGATAGCAAGTTCTATTATAAAGCCATAGTAATTAAGGCAGTGTGGTATTGGATCAAGAATAGACAAATACACCAATGGAACAGAATAAAGAGCCCAGAAGTCTCACCCATACACGGGAATTTATATTGTCATGGTGGTGATGCACAGCAATGCCTAAGAAATGGTTTTCCATAATTGGTGCTAAGACAAATAGATTCCCATTTGGAAGAAAAAAAATGAAATTGGCCCTTTACACACAAAAATCAATTCCAGGTGAATAATACACATAAATTTGAATGGCAAAAAAATAAAGCTTTTAGAAGATAAAATAAAAGCATATATCCATGATCTCGAGAATAGGAGACAGACTTGGACTGCCTGGCTGGCTTAGTCAGTAGAGCATGAGCCTCTTGATCCTGGGGTTGTGAGTTTGAGCCCCATGTTGGGGGTAGAATTTGTTTTAAAAAAGAAAAAGAGTAAGGGACAGACTTTTTAAACTAATCCAAAAAATAATAACTATAATAGAAAAACTGATCAGTTTGACTACATTAATATTTAAGATTCAGTTTCATCAAATGACACCATTAAAGAGTTAAAAAGTAAGCCTCAGAGTCTAATGAACTTACAGCATTATACTATACATCTTAAACTTATACAGAGCTGAATGTCAATTATAGCTCAATAGAACTGAAAAGAAAAATGTATAGCACATAGAACCAAGAAAAGTCTTGTATCTGGAATATATAAAGAACTACAGTCATAAGAAAAAGATTTGAACAGGCACGTCACTAAATAAATCCAAATAATCAGTGAAAAAGTGTCAACTTTTTTTATGAAAACAGGGAAATTGAAACCACATTAAGAGAATACTACACCACCCACCGGAATGGCTAAAATGAAAAAGACTGAAAATGACAACTGTTGACTAGGAGTGGAGCAATGGGAATTTTCACTTCACTATAGGGAGAGTAAATTAATAGACCAGTTTGGAAAAATCATCTGGCCCTATCTACTAAAGTTGAATATAGGCCCATATGTGAGCCAGCATGCCATTTCCAGGTATACTCTTAAGAAAGGTATGCTCATGGGCACTGGGATGCATGTCAAAGAATGTTAATAGCAGTACTATTATTATAGCTAAAAATGATAAATGATCTAATGTCCTCTATCAATAACATAATGGATAAATTATGGATAAACTGTGGCATAGTTGTATTAATGGAATATATTATAACAGAAAAATGAACAAACTATACACAATGATATTTATGAATCTTAAAAATATAATGTTAAGGGATGCCTGGCTGGCTTAGTTGGTAGAGCATGTGACTCTTGATCTCAGGGTTGTGAGTTCCAGCCCCAAGTTGGATGTAGAGATTACTTAGAAATAAATCCTTCAAAAATAAATATATATATACATAACGTTAAGAAAAAGAAACCACTCACAATAGAATATACATTTTACTATTCCATTTTTATAAAGTTCAAAAATATGACTAAAGAATGCATACTTAAGGGGCGCCTGAGTGGCTCAGTAGTTGAACATCCAAACTCTTGGTTTCCGCTGGGCTCATGATCTCAGGTTCCTTTTGGGCTCTACACTCAGCGGGGAGTCTACGTCTCTCCCTCTGCCCTTCCCCTAACTTGGGCACGCGCTCTCTCTCTCTCAAATGAGTAAATAAATCTTAAAAAAAAGAAAAAGAAAGCATACTAGGTGTTAAAACTGTAAAGAAGAGTAAGGAAATAGGTTAATGGCTACCTCTAACACAGAAGGAACTTTATGGAGAGGGATTGAGACTGGGAAGAAGCACTGGGTTGGAATTCTACAAAATCTTCTGTTTCTTTTATTATTATTTTTTTTTATTTTAGAGATGGGGGGTGGTGAGCCACAGGGAGAGGGAGAGAGAGACTCTTAAGCAGGATCCACACCTAGGGCAGAGGTGATATTTAAAATCTTAAATATTAGGGCTCGATTTCACAACCCTGAGATCATGACCTGAGCCAAAATCAGGAGTTGGGCACAACCAACTGGGCATCCCCAAATCTTCTGTTTCTTGATATGGATAGTGGTTGCACTGTTGTGGGCTTTATAATAATTATTTAGACTATATATTTATTTTTATTATTTATCCATTTTTCCACATATGTATTATGTTTCCCAATTTAAAAATAAAAGAGTGAAAGTCTGGGGTCAGGTTGCATTCTTTCAATTCTAGGCCCTACAGCTGTCTGATCCTGAGCAGGCTCCATAACCTTTCTAAGCTTAAGTTTCCCCATCAGCAAAATGGCAGTAGTAAAGGTACCTCACAAGGATGTTATGAGAATTAACATGAGAAAATGAGTTAATGTGCGTAACGCAGATCGCATAGTGCTTAGCACATGGCAAGCCCTCGGGGAAATGTTGTTTGTTATCACTGTGATCACGTTAAAGTATTAAAGACACTGAGGCGAGTAAAATCATGAGATGGTCCCTTATGGTTGGGTGTAGGGAGGAGGAGATAAATATACAAGCAGCCACAACAGAATATATCTGCTAGATGGAGACTTTTCTCCATTTCACTGCTATCTAAGTGGGAAAAATCTGCATGGTACCCAAGCATAAAGGAAAAGAGACAATACAGGTCATATGCAATAATAAAATAATAATAAATTATTTATATTATAAATAATAAATTTATTATAAATAATAAATTATAAATAATAAATAAATAAAATAATAATAAAATAATAAAACAGGATAATCTGGGTAGAGATTACCTCAGCCGTCCCATACAGTAAGCAAATGTGGCTTTTCAGAACTTGCAACGTGGCTAGCCTGAATTGAAATGAGCTCTAAGTACAATCTATATGCAAAATTCTGAAGATTTAGTACAAAAAAATGTAAAATATCTCTAGTAGTTTTAAAATATTGGTTATATGTTAGCATGATAATATTTTGGATATATGTAGTAAATAAAATACATTATTCAAACTAATTCACTTGTTACCTTTCACTTTTCAAATAACACTATAAGAAGAAATAAAATTGCATATGTGGTTTGCATTATATTTCTATTGGACAATACTGCTAAGGAGACATATGGAGAAAGAAAAGAAAAAGGACGGAGCAAGAATTTAGAGGGCCTTAAATGCCAAACTGAAGAACTTTTACTTACTTTGAAAAGTTTTAAGGTGAGGAGATGGTTATGTATTTGTCGATGAGACTCTTTCTTGTTATGTAGTATTTATATATGCTAAATCAATCTCAGATTAGAATGATAATAATAAATAAAAACAGATGATTATCCACTGTTACCAGACACTGGTAATAGGCACTCAGTAAATATATGGTGAATGAATGAATCTTCCTGCTGACCTCAAACAAAAATCTCTATTTATATTTAATAAATGCTGTTTGACTCTGTTAGAGAATTCCTTGACCAAAAGATTCACTCAATGCTATTTTCAAGATTTCTTATCACCTCTATTCTATCTCATATCTTGGTGGACA